AAAGTATATTAAAGTTGTAGAATATTGGCATGGAACAATAAAAAAATATAGATACGACGGAGACGTATCAGGCGACGTAGGGCGCGGCGAGGGCAGGGCTCCAGCGGCGCGACGGGGAGAAAGTGTGGAGATTTGGGGGGGAAAGGGGCGGGATGAAGGGAGGAGTGGGGATTTGGGGGGTTAAGTGGGCACAGCAGTAGCGCGTTTAGGCAAAACGCGCTATAGCTACTCCAGGTAGCTATAGCGGTTTCGTGTAGAAAGCGCTACTGCTATCTTGACTAGCTGTAGCTCTTTTCTCATAAAAGCGCTGCTGCTATAACCTGTACCTATATAACAATTCTCCTGTTTGTTTCCTTCTATTTTCTTTTCCTTTATTTTCTCTCACTTTTCTTTTCTTTTTTCCCGAGAGCAGTGAATGAAGGGAAGGCGATATATATTGCATTATTTGACGGTTAAATATGTACACAAAATAGGAGCATATATATTACATCATTCGACCCATGCATTAAGTGCCCCAAATAAGCTGCAGGATTAGTCTAGAGGGCCATGGCCACGAGATAGATACCAAGCACCTGTGACCGCGAACTCATACCCTTGAGTGATCAGCTCAAAATTCAAATGCATGCAAATTTTGGCTGGATGAATGGTACAGTTGTTGAAGGATGGGAAGGGCCGGGTAAAACATTTCAGATAAGAGTCTAGTATGTTCAGTCCATGCTGCTGCTTGTCTGGAAAACACAAGCCGGAAAGTTCAGCAACTAGCTAAATACAGTGGAGTAGATGTGGTGCAGTGCCAGCAACCAAGTAATTGAGCCATGTACCTTTTCATTTACGTATTTGAATATTAGTTTTCTTAAACAAGTAGCTGCAAGGTTATTATAGTTTTATTAAGTGTATGTATATACAAGTCAGACTGATAGAAGAGGTCAACCACCAGTAACCTAGCTACTTGGTCTGCCATGCTTTGCTCACGTGGGCTCCACTGTCTTGTTCAATTATCGTTTGAAATGAAACAAAATAAATTACTGGTACCAAATAGTAGCCCTATAATAATTAATTAGTTGCAGCTTAAGCGTAATTCCTTTTCCCGAAAGATCAATTATTTTATGACGACGACGACGATGATGGCCTGATGTGTGTGGTGCAATCTTGTTCCGTTTCTGCCGTCCGCATCACCTACGGCACTTTCAACTAAACTCACCAAACAAATGTAACATGATTACATTTTCTTTCTTCTGGACGGTTGATTAAGGTGCGACCGTAAGGTTAGTTAAGGTAGCATTACCACAACCAAAAGCAATGGTGCTGCCAGGAATTGTATGCACAATCAGGTGTGACCTTTCTCCTTTTTTTCAGTAAGAAAACCAACCCCGGACTAATCTTTTTTAATTTACAACGTTGAACTTGGAAACCGGTCAAAATATGCCCTGAACTTACCGCAAGGGTCAGAACATAACCCTGGTCTCGGTTTTGCATTGGTCAAGCAGTTTTGACGGTAGTCAATATTGATTGGTCACTGACGACTAGGCTAGGGATATGGACTGTCGTTTTGAATCTTCTCTGGTTACAGTTTATTTTTCCGTGCGTATAAGCCGAGAAGATACACATAATAATAATCCATATCCATCACAAAGTGTGAAATGATGACCGAAACTTACCGTTTTTGGACGACGCGACTATTTAAGCTGGTCCAGTCGCTCCTCACTCGACGAGGTGGGACTAAACCATGCCTGAGCTTTGGTCAACTGGGAACTCGGCAAATCTATAACCTGGCCTTCCGATTTTTAAAACATGTAAAAAGAAAATGTTTACCGAGTCTAGTCACACCGAAACTTGGCAAAGATGTGACCCCTAGAATTCCTATTTAAAAAAATGAAAAATGGAAATTGTCTGCCGAGTCTCCTTTAGCCGAAACATGGCAAACAAAGGCCATGGTCACGGCTCCGTCGCATGTTGTACAACAGGGCCCACCGGTCAGGCTTTGCCAAGTTTTTCCTTGCCGGAACTCTGCGAACTTGAGATTTTGCCGAGTTTATTTAGATCGCCAAGTTATTTTTCGTTGGAACCAGGCAAAGTCACTGCTATGCCGAGTTTGCATATCACTGTCGAGTCCAATTTTTTTAAAACCCCACCCATATATTAATTAAATTAGAATGTTCATACAATCATTCATTATAGCATCTGCCACACAGGCCGGAACACTATTAATAAGAACACTGTCAGACCTATTATTAAAACTAAACTTAGCTATCTCGTGTGCCACCATATTAGCTTCCCTGCTAATCTTGGAGATCTTTACATTCGCCGGCATCTTTGAAATAGTCAATGCTTCCTTCGTAAGGTCAACAAGGGGAGATCTGTCAAAACTGTCTTTTCCTAGAACACCAACCACAAAAGAACAATCAGTTTGCCGCGTTCCCGATAGAATGAACTCAGCGAAGTTCTGGAATTCGGGACAAAACCAGATTCTAGTAGTGATACATACATATGGACGATTAACTAGGCTCACACATACTCTAGCAAGCATATCATATGGATTCTACACTACTAAAATATCTATACAAAGCAAATCATGGAACTAATTTCTACACTACTAAAATTTCTACACAAAGCAGTCGGATTGTACACTACTAAAATTTATAAACAAAGCAATCGGATTCTATACTCTACTTCAATTTCTACAAAAGGAATCGGAATCTACACTACTACAATTCCTATACAAAGCAATCCATGAAACAAAATTTCTACAAAAGCAAAGGGGATTATACACTAGTACAATTTCTACACAAAGTAATCCATGGAACTAAATTTCTAAACTATTAAAATTTCTACACAAAACTAAGTACAAAATCGGGTTCAAGACTTTTTAAATCGAATTCTACAAGGGGAAAAAAGATTCTGCGGTACAAATTTCGGATTCTCTGCTACTTAAATTCTATGCAATCCATGGATTATCCCGTGGATTCCATGGCAGCCACGGACGAGGGAGGCGTGAGGTGAGGGGATCGAACCTCGCTGTTGAGTAGACCCTCTCCAGCGGCAACGAGCTATGAGGTCCGTAGGCGGCGACTGGTCAAGGGAGAGCATGAAAAAGATAGTGAAGCCAAATGTGGCTAGGTTTTCTTACTGAGTGAGGTAGTGAAAGTAGTGGACAAGTGCTGGTGTGGGTCTAACAAGCCACGTCATAAAAGAGTAGTGGCAAAAAAAGCCCAGAAAATAGAAGTGGCCAAGAGGCGGTAGGAAATCAACATCTACGAGCTCGCGGGGATGGGCGCCATAGCACAAGGGGAGGGGGCAGCATGTTGTCATTGTCGTGATTGATGCCATGGCAGGGGCACGGGGCAGCCATGCAGCCACGCCAAACGATGTGGGTGTGCACGAGGTGGCTAGCGTCGTCGAAGTCATGGAAGCTATCGAGCGGGATGGTTTGACCGTCCATGACCACCCAGGTTTTGATGATGGAGAAGCGCACATTGACGACCTGTGTAGGGGGTAGGCGAAGGATGTAGCGGTTGGGGAAGGCAACATGCACCTCGACTTGAACGAAGGTGCACATGGTGGTGAAGTCTCCCGGGTGCAGGCATCGGCGGTCGACAGAACAAAGGAGGACAAGAAGCCCGAAGACAAAGTTGGCCCCCTAATGATGCCACACCTCAAGCAGGTAGCCTGACGCGTCGATCTCGATGAGGCAATCGTATGTCGTGGTGGCGCGGTTGTTGGTGTCCTCAGACTTGATGAGTTCGACCTGGATGCCCAGGAAACCCATGGGGAAGAAGGCCATCACAGCATCGCGGCAAGCCTCGTCATTGACCACGAGGAGAGCATCCGAACGCCGCAAGGAAGTGGAATATGTTGGAGTCGATGCGAGAATCGAAGAGGTGGCAGATGAACTCGTGGGTGTCAAGCATCGCGGTGTTAGTTGGACGAGAGCGAAGCAGCTAACATGATGGAGAAGACCTTGGGGTGGTGAAGATGCCGGGAGTCATGGCAGGACCATGGCACAGTGGGGATGCAGAGCATGATGGAGGGAGCCGAAACATGGGCGACCCTGCGTCCGGGACCACTACGGGCATAGGTGAGACGGTGATGCAACATTGGTGTGGAGTCGCCGTTGGGGGAGTGGTTGATGTGGCGCAGCGCAGTAGGCAGTGACACCGCTGGTGACATGGGTGCTGGCTCGTCCAGTAGGATGCGGACAAAACCGATCAAGAGCTCCGGCAGGGGAGCGGGATCAGCACCGGTGGCCAAGCTCTCGGGGTGGGTGGCGTCCAAAGCTAAAACCAGCTGAAGGGGTTGTGGCTAAAGGCGATCCGCAGGCAGTAACACTCCTGATTTTCATCAGGAACAATTAATGATTTTAAGCATGGCATTTTGCACAAAAGCACAAAACAATGGTAAATGCTTTTTAGCTTGTCATTTCAGACAAAAGAAAGAAAAACAAAAATAGTGGCACAATTTCTGTTCAGGGAGGAGGTAGGAAGGAGGTGGCCAGGGCCCAGGGGCGACCGCGAGCTGTGCAGAGGCAGGGCGGCGACCAGGGAGATGGCGAGCAAGTCAGGGTGGAGGAGGCGCATGGCACAATTGCTTTTTAGGTGTTCTCTCATCATCATGCAGGCTACGAGGGTATTGAGCTCTCACCTCTCAGTGGACTCTGGGGATCGTCATTGGTCTTTTCGGCCGGGAGACAAATATTGTCGCATATTGTTATTTAGATCTTTACTTCCTTAGAGCCGCCCCCCAGCCCCGACCATTTTATTTCTACCCTTGTCAATTATTTACCTGATCATTATTGATGAATCCAGTGACCAATTTTCTTTCTTTAATAATAGATCCCATCCCACAATTCCATAGCACTCTAGGCGGATCTAGAGGCACATTTTAATAAGCTGGGTAACAGATGAACAATTTGCTCAAAGGGTACGTACGTCATATTTATAAGCCCACATGTACATGGGCATCTAATGCCAAAAGATCAGCACGGACGCAAGCAAGAAACACAGCTACGCTGGTATCTCGGCCCTGGGAATGATTCCCAAGACTTGTGCAACCTGGAGCTTCTTCCTGGCGTACTGTGCATACGTCTTTGGCAACGCACGCTGAAATTGGAAAAGAATGAGCTATTATCACATACAAAACCTGCAAGGGGAAACAATATTTTTTGCCCACCAATATCTACAACCTACCTTGTAATTAATTTCCTGCGCAATCAACTCTTGGACTCTTTGATCTGGAAGCTATATATTATACATACACCAAGGAGAGACATCATGACGATGATTGTACTATATAGTAACACATTCCAATGGATGCTAGAGCACACCATACTATAGATATACTTACTTCCTTACTAATGCCTTCTGTGCACCGGCGGAACTGCAAGGAAAGATGATTAAAGCATTTGCATCAGAAGAGATACTAATAACTAATCAACGAAAACACATACAGAACTCCTATGAAAAACCAAAAAAAATTAACCTACTTGTCGCTCCAGTTGCAAAAAACCGCCGGGCCACTCCAGCTCAGCCTTCAAACTATGTTGGCGCAATGGAACCGGATTCTCATTGTAAACATCCTGCAGAGCATCTCTGAAACACATCTACAAGTTTTCCAACAAAGAAGACAACACCATCACCAAGCATATACAGGGTTAGAAAGCATTGACAAACCCGATCAATAATCATAAACTGTTGTTAGTTCTGATGTACAATGCTGACCTGACCCTCATTGACCCGCTTCCAAATCTCAAGAAAGGCACGGTCAAGACCTTCGACAAACAGACGATAAAGGCGAGTCCTCAATACATACTCCTAAATTTAATCGAAAGATTGCGATTGTTAGATATAATCATAACTAGAGCTGACCATCTAAATGAGCAAGCGACAAAGGAATCATACCTCGAAACCATGACATGTTAGACCCAAATGAATGTTGGTGAACCCATTGGCAATCTTAATTGATTGGTACAAACCTTTACGGCGCATTGGCACCCACTAAATAGTAGAACAGAGAAGTTATTGTGATGCTACAATGAGTATGCAAGATCAGTTGTCATTCCATGGTTTTGAGAGGTCATATAGGCGTACCTCCAGAAAATCTTTAAGCACATGATTTTCAAGCCACTGTTAAGAACAGAAGGTTGTTAGTCCAATTTCTTTTTTACTGAACAAAGTTTTAAACTTGGACTGGCTGATCATTGCACCATGAATACCTTCATTTCCTTGACCATCTTTTCCCAGTACAGCACATACTCTCTATCAGCATCAGGGGTGTTATAAAACGCTTTGTACTGACTCCATCTGTCATATTCATACTCATTCCCACCCTGCACCATAAAGGAAGGGAAGCAGCATATCACAGCTGTCCTAAGAATAACAAGCACTGGGTATAAAGGCATGGAATGCTCTTAATATGTGTGTGACTATTATTGGTTACTGTACTTTCGCACTTCAAGAAATTCCAAAAAAAACAGTATTGTAACATGTAAAATATATGGGGCCTCGGCATATCAGGCAAAAAACTGTTTACACATATAAAAAAAGTATGGTACTCGTATTTGGGAGTTGTCTGCATGTGGACCGCTTGTGATTTTTTTAGGACTTGCTCTTTGCAAAAAATGCATCAGCATAATAAACTCTCAGGGAAGAAGTTTCTTAAGCGAGCCCCCCTCCCCCACCCCCCCGGTCACCTCCGCATTCCCCCTCCCTCTCCCTTCCCCCCGCCACGGCCTGAGGGGCGCGGCCCCGATGATGGTGGTGGCGGCCCTGGCGGGGATCTAGCGCCTCCTCTTGGTTGGAGGGCCTCGGCTCGCTGGGGCGGCGGCCCCGACCGGTGGGCGCGGTGTGGCTCATGCGGCGGGCTGCACTGGTGGGCAGCATCCCATGATCGCGTGGGTGGCATGGAGGTTGCGGGCGAATGTGCGGCGGAGGCTCCTCGCAGCCTGCCGTTGCTCCATGAAGAAGCTCTGCCCCGTTTCGATCAGCCCCGATCCATGCCGACACCGGCCCCTGGTGTCGTCCCTCGGAGCCGGCATGGCGGATCTGGAGAGTGGGCGAGGTTCTGGGGGAAACACCTAACCGGCATGGCCTCCTCCTCAAAGTCGATGCCTTTGGCTCCGATTCCCTTCCTGGAGGCTTTGGGGTGGGCCCTCTCCCTCCTGCCTCCTCCCAGAGCTATGGCGAAGGCTGGTGTTCCCCTGTTATGGGCGTCGATGACACCCTGTTGTCATGCTCCTTCTTGAAGGCAGCGGCCGGGAACTGCTCTTGGTGGCGGGGATGATGGTGGTGTGGTGGCAGTGCATGGTGGTCTAGCCTTCTTGATGCATCCTGCTCGGCTTCACCCATTATAATTTGATGCCCTCTTTGGTCTTCTTTGTGGTGTTGCGCCTTCATTCAACAGCTTGCGTCTGGTGCTTCGTTCTGCCACTGCCGGTGGTGGTGCTCGCTTGGTTGGTCATTCGTGTTCGTGGGTATGCTCGTCCTGCTTCTCCTATGTCAGCTTGGTCACCTTGTGTTGGGTTCTTGGGGGATCCACTCTGCCGGTCGCTGGTGCGGCACCCATCGAGCCTTGGTGAAGAAGTTGTGGCCCTTTGTGACGCGGGAGACAACTTAAGTGTTGCCCAAGTTTGGCCTGCGGATGCAGTCGGCGCTCGATACTTGCACGGTGGTGCCCTCCTTCCGTGTCCTTAGTTGGGTAGTTGGTGCGGGCATAGTGTTGGTCGTCGACATCGCTGCTTGGTGTGTTGGCTCGATGGTGCTGCCGTTGTGTTGTTCTGCCTTGTGCCATGTATCTTTCTTTCGGCTTTGTTCTGCCTTCGATTCCCCTGTAATGTGGTGCCCTTGTAATCCTGGCCGGTTGATGGCTTTGTTAATTCAAAATAGGGCTAGGTTCGAGCTCTTCTCGGGCTCGGCCGGTGCCTTTTCTCTAAGAAAAAGGTTATAATACTTCTGTCTTTTTCTTCTAACGTGCACAATTTATGAGATTTTTGATAATTTATTGCAAACACACATATTTTCAACTCTGTTTAATCTCCAGAAGATGTGACGTTCGTAATTTTATTTTTGCATTTTGGCAAGAACCTCAGGCAGGCCCCAGGAACAAAGAGGTTACTCCCACAAAGCCAAGCTATAAAAACAATGAGAAATTGCAGTCATGAATCATTAACTATCCAAGCTGTCAGAGAAATATTTGTGGTCACCCATTCAAAGGTAAGAAGAGAAGAAGAAATTGCTTACTGGCCGCATGAGCACAGATTAAGTGTATCTGAATCACTCAACTCAAAGTTGTGAATACACATATACTTACAGAGTTAGGAAGGACTAGCCGCTGGTAGTCGCTCAAGTTTGCAAGTAAACAGAGGTCGTGGTCGAAATACCAGCCAAAGGCACTATCATGAAGGTAAGGAGAGAAGAACTCATTCTCCAAGCCAAGCTCCATAGGGTACTTGCATTCCAATGCAGCTTCTTCTAGCTCGTCGACAGGCTTTCCTAACAGAAGCTACAAAGTTTTACAGACGAATAAGGTACATAAGACGGGCGTATATGCTTGATCGCGATAGACAGATAGGTCTGAGGTGATATGGAACTAACCAGGTAAGCTTTGAAGCGATAACGTTTATACTTGGCGAGGAGGCTGTCCAACTGCTCTTGATCCAGTCCAGTCCTAGTGTCAATTTCAGCCGGTCTGCGAGTCTTTAGTTGTCCAGAGTACTTGGCAAATTCCTCCGCAGTGATATCATCGCCCGAGTCCTCTCCAAAGTATGTATCTCCAACATCTGGTCCGTGGGGTTCGCTCAAGAACTTGTGGGCTTGATATTCTACTAGGGCAGCCCGCAGCTCATCATCATAGAAATTAGAACGAGCGAGGACTTGGACAATTTCATCGGAAGGAAGATTTGGGCTGTCGACAGCGACGCCCGCTTGTAACTGCAATCCGGCGAGGCGCGAGGCGAGGATCTCATGGTACCTGGACTGGCGGGCCGGCGGTGCGCTGGATGTCGTGCTGCTGATGTCCAATTCGACAAGGGATCCAGACAACGATGCGCCTTCTTCACCGCGGCGCCGGCGGGACGGTCCTTCGCGAGGAGACCTCCTGCGGCGGCGGCGCCTCTTCTGCGGCGTCAGCATCTGATCGGCGATCACAGGGTTCGGACGCTAGTGACCTTTGTCCTCTTGGGACGGTTCAATCCTTACCCGGGCTGGGCCTAAATGAAAGCAGGCCCAAATTTTCTTCCGGTGTTCCTTGAGGTTTTTAAACAAAAAGTACTCGTTTTAATCAAAAAAAAGTACTCATAGCTACAGACCAGGCATGAATGTACCTTCCCTCTAACCAGGGTTATGTTTCTCCAGGCGGCAATTCTCACCACTGTCGAGGCTTTACCTTCCCTCCCCCGATCCGTCCGCTGGTTCGCTCGGGGCTGTCTCGGGGTGATCCCGGATCACTCCCTGCACCCGATCGAATCGTTGGTGTGTGAAAGGGGAGCTAGGGTTCCTAGAACACCCGATTCTATCTCAATCGGGTTAGGGTTCAAGATTTCACTGGTAGGGTCAACGAAGGCGGTGTCCGGCGCGGGATCAGCAGCCGGTCTACACGAGACGATGATGGTGGAGTTTGGGCTCCACGGGGAAGGGATGGATGCAGTGATAACTAGCGCGAGCATCGAAAAAATGCTGAAGAACTAGAGGGCAATCAGCTAGCGTTAATCACACAGGGAGCCCCTGTCATGATCCCACCTCCTAGAAGAGACGCCTTGTGGTCTCGATCAAACAATGATGGCTCGACACCGAGTGGGGCTGACTTGACAGGAAATCTGCTAGCGATTGTTCCAGCTGGAGCTACAGTTATGAGTCCCCCTCTGAAGAGAAATCCCAAGAGAACAAGGACGGGTCAAGACGGTAAAGATGGCACAACCTTCGCAGCAAAAACATTTTGGCAGGCCCTCTGGATGGGCGCCGCCGAGCACAATTAGTTATTTCTGTTGGCACTGTCGCGGTGTAGGCAAAGCTGCGGCAGTTCGGGAACTTTGCGATATCGCGAGGAAGTTTGCCCCTACCGTGTTCTGCATTGTTCAAACACGGATTAGTGGAACACATGTATAAGCACTAGCTAGTACTTTGGGATATGATAGAAGTTATGCAATAGATAGTCAAGGTAGAGGTGGTGGCGTTGTTGTTTTTTTGGAATAATTCAATTCTAGTTGAGATCTTGGGTGATTCGGCTTGTCATATAGATGCAAAGATAGAAGAGGGAGGTCATGATCCATGGAGATTAACCTGTGTATATGGTGAAGCTCAAACAAACCTTTGACACCAAACATGGGATCCTTCGAGGAGGATAGCTACTTTGAGTCCTCTCTCGTGGGTATGCTTGGGGGATTTTAATGAAGTGCTACGCCCAGAAGAACACGTTGGAGTTGCTAATCACAGTAATGCTCAAATCCAACGATTCAAAGATGCGGTTGATGTTTGCATGTTGTTCGATTTAGGCTATCAAGGCCGTTTTTGGACTTCTGAGAAAAAAGTGGCGGGGGCTCCTACACTTTGCTGAGGCCGGACAGAGCCCTCAAAAACGCGGATTGGGTCACTAGATACCCTATGGAACACCTAACACACTTGACGGTGGCGGCGTCTGACCATGCGCCAATTCTACTTGAGCTAGAGGAGGCGCAAGTACATCCGAATGGTAATTTTCGATACGAGGTCATGTGGGAATCTCACAAAACTTGGATTGAGACGGTTACTACATGATGGAATGAAGTACAACCCGAACACACTGCAAATGTCCTTCGCGGGAGGCTTTTGGCGCTCTCGAAAATCCTTTCGGGGTGGAATTTGGACACCTCTGGCAGCCTCCGAAACGATATAAAATAGCTCAAGGGGGAATTGGAGAACTTGCGCAATGTTCCTGCAAGAACCTCCCCTACTCATGCAGAGATCAAAATCAATGAGAACCTAGTGGAACTTTATCACCATGAAGAGATTATGTGGAGGCAACGATCTAGGCTAGATTGGCTCTCGGCGGCGGGTAGAAACACAAGGTTCTTCCATATGAGGGCGAGCTTGAGGCGAAAGAAAAATATGACTCGCTCTCTCTCTAATGCCCTCGGAGTTTGGGTAGATGATCCAGCAGTATTAAAACAAATGGTCACCGAATTCTATAAGAGCCTATATTCGCCAGCAGAAGGGGTCCACAGATTTGATCAAGTCCTCTTGCATGTACCACACAAGGTAACACAGGAGATGAACACAGTGATGGGGAACGTTGCAGAAAACAAAAAAAATTCCTACGGTTTCACCAAGATCCATCTATGAGTTCATCTAGCAACGAGTGATTGGATTGCATCTACATACCTTTGTAGATCACACATGGAAGCGTTCAAGAATTGGGGATGAGGAAGTCGTACTCGACATGATCCAAATCACCGGAGATCCTAGCGCCGAACGGACGGCACCTCCGCGTTCAACACACGTACGGTCAGCGTAACGTCTCCTCCTTCTTGATCCAGCAAGGGAGAAGGAGAGGTTGATGAAGATCCAGCAGCACGACGGCGTGGTGGTGGATGCAGGGCATCACAGCAGCAGGGCTTCGCCGTATACTGCGAGAGAGAGAGGTGTAGCAGGGGAGAGGGAGGCGCCAAGACTCAAGGTATTGCTGCCCCCTCCCTCCCCCCCCCCTTTATATAGGCTCCCCTAGGGGGGGCGCCGGCCCTAGGAGATGGGATCTCCTAGGGAGGGCGGCGGCCAGGGCTGGAGTAGCCCCCGAGGCAAGGTGGGGCGCCCCCCCACCCCTAGGGTTCCAACCCTAGGCGCATGGGGTGGGCCTAGGGGGGCGCACCAGCCCACTATGGGCTGGTTCCCCTCCCCACTTTGGCCCATGGGGCCCTCCGGGATGGGTGGTCCCACCCGGTGGACCCCCGGGACCCTTCCGGTGGTCCCGGTACAATACCGGTGACCCCGAAACTTGTCCCGATGGCCGAAACAGCACTTCCTATATATAATTCTTTACCTCCGGACCATTCCCAAACTCCTCGTGACGTCCGGGATCTCATTCGGGACTCCGAACAACATTCGGGTTACTGCATATACATATCTTTACAACCCTAGCGTCACCGAACCTTAAGTGTGTAGACCCTACGGGTTCGGGAGACATGTAGACATGACCGAGACAACTCTCCGGTCAATAACCAACAGCGGGATCTGGATACCCATGTTGGCTCCCACATGCTCCTCGATGATCTCATCGGATGAACCACGATGTCGAGGATTCAAGCAACCCCGTATTCAATTCCCTTTGTCAATCGGTATGTTACTTGCCCGAGATTCGATCGTCGGTATCCCAATACCTTGTTCAATCTCGTTACCGGTAAGTCACTTTACTCGTACCGTAATGCATGATCCCGTGACCAGACACTTGGTCACTTTGAGCTCATAATGATGATGCATTACCGAGTGGGCCCAGTGATACCTCTCCGTCATATGGAGTGACAAATCCCAGTCTTGATCTGTGTCAACCCAACAGACACTTTCGGAGATACCCGTAGCATACCTTTATAGTCACCCAGTTACGTTGTGATGTTTGGTACACCCAAAGCACTCCTACGGTATCCGGGAGTTACACGATCTCATGGTCTAAGGAAAGGATACTTGACATTGGAAAAACTCTAGCAAACGAACTATACGATCTTATGCTATGCTTAGGATTGGGTCTTGTCCATCACATCATTCTCCTAATGATGTGATCTCGTTATCAATGACATCCAATGCCCATAGTCAGGAAACCACGACTATCTGTTGATCAACGAGCTAGTCAACTAGAGGCTTACTAGGGACATGTTGGTGTCTATTATTCACACATGTATTATGATTTCCGGATAACACAATTATAGCATGAATAAAGACAATTATCATGAACAAGGAAATATAATAATAATGCTTTTATTATTGCCTCTAGGGCATATTTCCAACAGTCTCCCACTTGCACTAGAGTCAATAATCTAGTTACATTGTGATGAATCGAACACCCATGGAATTCTGGTGTTGATCATGTTTTGCTCTAGGGAGAGGTTTAGTCAACGGATCTGCTACATTCAGGTCCGTATGTACTTTACAAATATCAATGTCTCCATCTTGAACATTTTCACGAATGGAGTTGAAGCGACGCTTGATGTGCCTGGTCTTCTTGTGAAACCTGGGCTCCTTGGCAAGTGCAATAGCTCCAGTGTTGTCACAGAAGAGTTTGATTGGCCCCGACGCATTGGGTATGACTCCTAGGTCGGTGATGAACTCCTTCACCCAAATTGCTTCATGCGCTGCCTCCGAGGCTGCCATGTACTCCGCTTCACATGTAGATCCCGCCACGACGCTCTGCTTGCAACTGCACCAGCTTACTGCCCCACCATTCAAAATATACACGTATCCGGTTTGTGACTTAGGGTCATC